ACTTGGCGAAGGTGGCTTTCTCTGGAATTGGAATAGATCAAAATGTCATCCAGGTACACCACCATGAACTGATCAAGCATGTTCCTAAAAATATCATTCATGAAATGTTGAAAGACCGCGGGGGCGTTGGTCAATCCAAAAGGCATTACCATATATTCGAAGTGGCCGTATCTAGTGCCAAACGCCATCTTCCACTCATCTCCTTTGCACATCCGCACCAGGTTGTAAGCCCCTCGAAGATCGAGCTTGGTGAAAATAGTGGCCTCTTGTAGTCGTTCCATCAGCTCAGGAATGAGCAGCAAAGGATCACTATTTTTCACCGTAATGGCGTTTAACCTGCGGTAGTCACAACATAAGCGCAACTCCCTCATCTTCTTTTTCACAAAAAGGACAGGAGCAGAAAGGGGAGACGATAACGGTCTGATAAACCCCCGGGGCAAGTTCTTGTCCAGAAAATCTCGCAGAGCGACCAATTCGGGCTCAGACAGTGAATACAGATGACCCTTGGGTAGCAGAGCATTGGGCAGGAGGTCCACAGGACAGTCATAAGGTCGATGTGGGGGTAACCGATCCGCCTCCTTCTCACTAAAAACATCTGAAAAGTCAAATAGTTCAGGAGGTACAGAGACAGCAGGGGCAGCGATGTCTTGACCAGCACAGATGAGTCTTAGATAGTCCACACTGGAGACTCGGGAACAAAATAGTGTTCTGTGCCCATGCTACCTGAGGATCGTGCAACCGTAGCCAAGCCATTCTGAGAACCAATGGGAGATGGAGGTCCGAGGTGATATAAAAGCTAATCGCCTGCTCATGGTCCCCAATGACCAGGCGTAATGGCTGAGTAGCAAAACGAATAGGCCCAGAGCGCAGTTCCCGCCCATCAATGGTTTCCACTTTAATGGGAGGCTCCACAGTAACCAAGGGAATTTTATAATGTGTGGCAAAAACCCTGTCCATGAAATTGGTAGTAGCCCCCGAGTCCACCAACGCAACCGCAGGAATCCCCTCCGACAGGGACTGCAAGAAAACCTGCGTGTCCAAAAGCAAATATTGGGGAGGACCAGAGTTCACCTCCGCTACTTCAGGTGGTTGTGTGGCATGTGCCCGACCTAGGGTTTCTCCAAGGGCGGGCCTGCCCCGTTTCTCCGATAGTACAGGATGAGATTAGGGCACTGGCTTTCGTATACCCTGTCTTTTACCAGGACAGGAACTGGCAAAATGTCCCGACCCTCCACAGTACAGGGACAGGCCTCCCTGAAATCTCCGTGTGCATTCTTGTGCCATCAACCGAGGGCGGAATGCGCCCAACTCCATCGGTTCCTTGGTCCTGGTCACAGCATTATGGGATACCAGGGGCGTTGGTTGTACGGGAGGTTGCGGCCGTGAGTGGGAGGGCAGCTCCGGAACTGGGCGTCTGGTCTTGCGCCATTGAAGCCGGGCATCAATGCGCAAACATTACACCACTAACGCATCCAGGGTTAGAGCCGGCTCCACATGCACCAACTCATCTTGAATTTCTTCTGCCAAACCCTCCTGAAAAGCATCCATGTGGGCTGCCTCATTCCAAGCAGAGTCAATGCGGAGCAGACGAAACTCTGCAATAAACTCTTGCAAAGGGTGTTTCCCCTGACAAATGTCCTTTAAACGTCTGGCTACGGTTTGAGTTTTTATGGGGTCCTCATACATAACACTTAAATGGTGCCAAAAGCCCTGATAGTCATTTAATAACGGACTATTTTGCAACAACAGAGGAGTGGCCCATCTTGCAGCCGAACCAGACAAAAGACTAATAACAAACCCCACCTGAGCCTGGTCATCAGGGAAATCTTCTGGCCGTAAAGACATAAACAGTTGACACTGCCCCATAAAAGCCGGGAACATTTCAGGCTGTCCAGAGAATTTATCTGGCACAGCTACCGGGCATTCCTTCAGGGGAGAGCAGGAGGGTTAATTGGAGCTTGCATCTGCGTTAAATGATTAACCAACTGGGTGACTTGGTTCTGCAGTACCTGGTTATTCTGCAGGAGTTGATTAATCTGCTGCTGTTGCTGTTCAAGCTGTGTTTGGTCCATCTTAGTTAGAAGATGGGATGGTGGTCTGGATCAAAAAATGTTCTGTCTCACTTGTAGCCACAAGTGAGAGTCCAAATGTCCCAAAGAAATAGACACGAACAAATAATACCAGAAACCACAGAGTTAACTTGTCTCTGTAATTGTCATTGGCAGCTTTCCCAGAAACTGTCTTCAAGCCGAGATAACGCAAGATAAATCAGGAACAGAGGGCTTCTTCAAAGCTGTGCAGTAATTAACGAAGTTTGATCCAGACAAGGGCCGTTAACTAACACGCCTCCTTATATTCCTTGGAGGGGCGTGTCAGTCTCTCTAATTAGTCTCTGACTTGATGTTTCTTTTCAAATTGTGCTTGATGTCTCAACCTACATCCAGCCCTTGCATCAACCCAACATTCGTCATCACTCAAGGACTCTGGTATGTTCTGTGGGTCAGCTGCTGACACCTGAGGCATGATTGAAGTGAAAGGTTCTGGAGAGGAGGGAGTTTCTGACTCTCCCTCATCCTCCTGGCTCACATCTGCATCTCTCATTAGAGCAGGCTCCAATTCCAATGCCAAACTTTCCTCATTACTCGACCCTGTGTCTTCTGATACATCAGACTCAAAGCTCACAGCAGTCACAACACTTACATATATTATTTGTTCACTGAATACTAATCTGAAGAATAACAATTACACACCAAAGCAATTTTTATGGTGTTCTATAAAAATTCGATACAGGTAGCCCTTTTCTTATAGCTTCAATTAAGCCCAGAATTAAGGTTATAAGTCATGGTAGCCATCAATTGGGTTACCATATAACTGCACTCAATTTAAGAGAGTTTATGGTGGTTGTTAAGCAAACACTATTGTTGTTAAAAGAATCCAGTTTACTTAATAGGTGTTTGGGCCAGAAACCACAAGTAAATGTCAGAAACTGGCAAAAACCATAGTCATGTTACTGCAGGACATTGCAAATGCCCGTAAATGTGAGCCAGTTGCCAAGCCTCCAAAATTGGATCATAAAATAGCTCTGGGGAAGTCCGTTGCAGCTTTGATTGTCACGAAGTGACCACATGTAGCTATACTGAAAATAAAGCAAAGTTCATTTTGATTAAAAAAAATATTTTACAGGAAATGTTCTTGTTGTGTCAGACAGTCTCAAGCTGTCTGACACAGTACAATCAATAAGTTCAAGAGGGGGAGAGTTTATTTCTATGACATAGCTTTTAAAAACAAAAGAGAATTGAAGGGAACAGAAGGTTCAATATGTGTTATAGAACTAAGGACAGTAATGGTTTAGGAGCAACTTTCTAAAAACTTTTCAGGGAAAATTTCAAGCAAAATATTATGTATTAAAAGGGAAATGCACAGTATTTTCTTGGAGTATTCAAGTTTTGTAATAAGGCATCCATCTGGCTAGAAACGGCAATGGGATTCTTCAATTTCTCGTTAAATATCCTTATTTTTCTAAACAACTGTAGAGAGTTGGATGCTTAATGACACATTGAATTCAAATATACTTCAGACTGAGCGTGACATTAATTTTGTTTTAGAATCTTTTGTAGTTTATTATTAAATTAAAGCAACTCCCATTTCCCAAAGGAATTTGCACTATTTATAGCACATCAATTCTATCACGCAGCTTATATGGAACACTACAAGTACTTCTGTAAATGTCTTACAAATTAAAAAAAACATTTACAAATTATCTTTTTTTTCCAAAAAGTTTCATTTTGTTTATCTCTGATGATATTGACTTATCTTCCAACAAAAGGTTGTAATCCAGCATCTGTGTACTAGATAGCCAGGAGATTATATTATAGAGGTTATTTCCATACTTACAACAAAATGATTGTAAGCAGAGGAATACCTTGTATGCAATGCTAAGTCACCAACGGTAGCTAAGTGAAGGAACAAAGGAAAATAGGGGGAGCATGAGAAGAATATGCCAAGCTGGGATACTTGGGGGATGAAGGAAAGATATATAATTTTATCAAAGGTCTGTATTTTAGGGACATGATTTCCATTTGCAGGTATTCTTCCCTCCCTAATACACACAGTTACTTCCTATTGCTTCAAGATATTCTGACAGAACATGAAGAAAATATCTGAGCAAAGAATATTGAAGGAAAAGTGTAATACTTCCATAAGTGCCGCCCTTATTTATAGTTACCATAAAAAAGAATTCAGCATGAGTAATAACTCATAATTAAGACCAATAAGTTTCTTCATTTTTTTCTTATTGTAGATTGGCTAATAAATTGTAACTATGCCATGTTCCTCTCTCTGCAGTTATGTAATACATTCAATGCAGAAATCATATTGCTGCCTAGGTTTCAGTTATGCAAAGAAAAGTAATGCATTGACTTAACATTCTCAATAGCTTAATAATTTGGGGCATCTTAGATTTTGCATATTTCAGTATGAAGGGATTTAAAAATCTATCTTTTATTTGAGATAAGGCCTCTGATCTCCCATTATTTTCAGAAGATTGTCCCTATAAAGCAGCATTTGATTCTTTAGCCACTTATTTACTAAATTTTAAGCATATTGATGTTTTTTTCTGAATTATCCAAAATTATCATTAAAATGTGGTCTTATAACATGGTGACATTTTTTTCTTGTAACTATAGGGCAACCATAATAAATCTTTGTAAAGTTTTAGTTGAAAGAAATACGATTATATCAATACCTAAACAATATTTTTATATATTCTGAAAATCCAAAATGTCACATAATTATTACATTTGGTTCCTTATTTCTAGACATGTGCAGAATTTGGATTCAAAGCAACAACAAAACGGTAACGAAAGAGACCCATACTAGATTCAAAACACCTTTGCATTGGATCCAAATATTCCATACCCCTATATATTTCTATGTGAGCAAAAGCAATTAGTTTATGCAAACGATATGGGTAAAGTTAACTAATTTTATCATTTACTAACCTTTTTCGTTGTGTGGATTTCTTTTTTCTAGAAAGAAAAAGAAAATAAAGTCAAGATAAAAAATACTTAGGTATTCTTCATACATTAATAAATATGGAAGCATATTAAGATAAGATATGCAATTGTTTAAGTACATCTGATACCAAGATCATATTTACCAATTTCTATCATTCCAGAACGCCCTCTCTCTCTCTCTCTCTCTCTCTCCCCCTATCCCTCTCCCTTTCTCTCTTCTACTAATGATCTGATAATAAATGAGAACAGTTTGCATCCAGGTAACTTCCACCATGTTCAGCAAAATGTACATTTCTTTGGCATTTAACACTCAATCTGGCAAGATTAAATAACCACATTTAACCAATAAAAATAGTTTTTAAGAGCTATTTACAGAAGACACATTTTAATAGCAACGTACCCTAAATAATCTGGTAATAAATATATATATTTACTGAATAAGTGGGAAACTAAGCAACCAATACACTGTATAGGTAATCTTCAACATATGACCACATTTGGGACAAGAATTTCTGCTGCTAAGCAAGGTGGTTATTAAGTGAATCATGCTGGATTTTATGAGCATATTTGCCACAATTGTTAAGCATTGGTTAAGTAAATCACATGGTTGTTTTAAGAGAATCCAGCTTTTCCACTTGACTTTGTGAGATGCCAGCTGGAGGTTGCAAATGGCAATCACATAAGCCCAGATACTGCAATCATCCTACATACATGCTGGTTGCCAAGCACCTGAATTTTGATTACATGACTATGGTGATGCTGGGGTCATAAGTGTGAGGACTGGTCGTAAGTCACTTTTTCAGTGCCACTGTAACTTTGAATGGTCACTAAACAAAAAGATGTCAGTTGAGGGCTATCTCTAGTATCTGTACAAAGTCCTTAACAAGAGCCTCAAAGTTTGGAAAAGTCAATTACTCTAGCATATATTGTCTAATACTTAGAATCTAAATCTATCAACAGACAATTTCAATTTCACATCACAGCCAGAAATTTAATCTATTAGCTCACTGCTCAATCCTTCAAAAGCATTTTGAAACAACTTAATGTAAGTTTCTGAATGATGGTTGGCTTTATTTTCAGAATTTATGTTATAATAGTTCATTAAAATAAACATCTTAATTAATTTTAACACTGGCAAACACTATTTACCTTATGCAAGTTTCCTGTGATTTGTTTTTTATTTTAGCACATATGCATATATTAAAAGAATTTTCTCCCTTTTTGCTTCCATTCAATTGTGTCCCATTCTTGGAGACTGCTTGGATAAGTCCTTAAAGTATTTTTGACAAGGTTTTTCAGAAGTGTTTTTTTGCCTGTCTCCTTACTAGGGCTAAGATAAAGTGACTGGCCCAAGGTCACCTACCTGGCTTTGTGCCCAAGGCAGGACTAGAACTCAGTCTCCTGGTTTCTAGCCTGAATCTATACCTCTACACCAAACTGGCTCTATTTGCTCACTATTAATTTTTAAAAAAATAATCCTTAGAATCTGCCATTTATCTTTTTGTTCTAAAAATGGTAGCATATTCTGCAGTCCAAGATTAGCATATGGCCTCTTTGCTGAATTGCAGTTTAACATAACAGATGGGAAAAATTATTAAACTCATATGATAACCATATTAGCAGTACTCAGATTAGAACTTACTTAAATGTAAACAAAGTAAATGAAGTAAATTTATGCTTAGCTAACTCAATCCTGATCCTATCCACAAATCAAATGGTCACCCATCCAAGAATAACAAAAAATTATATAGTCTTGCTTTAAATATGTAGTAACATTGTAAAAATCATAATGGACAATCAAATCCATATAACATCACAGCATTTTAAAAACTATTTTCATTAATTGTAGGCTTATATTGCTGAAGGTCATAAATTCTAACTAAAAATCTCTGCTATGAATAGTCCAGGGTAGTGGATTTAGAAAAATCTAGAACTACTACAGAGCTGCACACCTGAAATGTTTATATATTGTTTGTTCACCATATATAAGATAGTAAAACAGTAACTACTTAATGAGACCCCAAAACAGAAGGTCAAAAACGCCTTATATATACAAGAATTTAAAACAAAATTGTAGGAGGCAGGAGATGAAACTATGAATAAGTCTATTTATGAGAGAAAAATATTCCTCTACTTACTGCAGCAGCCCCACCATAAACATTAGTGTTAATGAGTGTAATTAAAGTCTGCCTTACTGAGTTTAAACTTCTAAAATAATAAAATGAACACTAAACTAGGTATGCCAGAAGTTGACAAGGACATTCCAATTTCTATAATCTTCAGTGAATGAAGGCTTGATTGGCCCCTGTGCAGAAGTGGCTTTTTTATACACATTGGGGACTGTTTCAAGAAACTTGAGCAAACAAATGAAGCACCAGGTGAGGAGAAAGCTGGTTTCATGCAACAGATAAGAAACAGATAATCACCTGTAAACTCCAAAGGAATTGTTTCCAACTGACTGATTATTTTAAGGGAGATTAAAAAAAATCCTCAAAGCCAATTTTACACTGCACTTACCAGCAAAGCATTTGGAACACAGATTCATTGTCTTGCTGGACCTGGTGCAAGGGGAAAAAAGAGGAGATCTTAAAAATTCTTCATAGTTATTAATACAGAAGTTTAAAGAATAGAATAAGCTGAGAAGGTAAGAGACAGCAGAGCAAAAACTTTGATCAGCTATCTGGGTCAATGATTTCAAAAACTAGCTTAGAAGCCTAGAAAAACATTGGGCCAGCCACTTTTAAAGCACAGCTTTCCTGCAGAGTTTTCTTCAAATGTACAAACAAGCTTTTGCTGTTAATTAATATTCAACAAATTTATAAATAGAAGTTGGGCATGGGTTGTCGCTCTACACTTTGTATTTTTCCTCACTAGGAAGCTAAATGAAATGATCATGAATAACACAAACTTTTGTCCCTGTTTTTTAATGAATAAAGATAATTAGCTTCTTAAGTCAGAATAAATTACTTGCTCAGAAAAGAACAAAATACCCAATACATTTTTATAAATTTCCTTTCAGTAACAAAATTACAGGGTTGATTTAACTTTCTTAAATGTTATAACTCTCCAAGTCTGGCATGTCTATGCTTAGGAGCAGATACCTTATAATAATCTATTATATCCACAGTATGAACTCAAGTGGGTTGAAAAGAAGTTTGATAGTTCTGTAGAATTCTATTAATCTATTACCAAAAAACAATTTCAGAGTGTATCTGCTTTTCTATTTATTCTATCATGTCATAATAGGCCTATTACAAAACATGAAATGCATAGAAAAGGGATATATTCACATTGGCTGCTTCATACAGTATTCACATTTTCAGTATGTAATTATTTGAATACATGATATTCTACCTTTCTTTTTGCTTTTTCTTTCTAAATAAAAGGTTTTTCTCTCATCATCATAGCTAAAATTAAATTAAAGCTAGAAGTCGTATAATAAGATTGTATGATTAAATCTCAGAAATTCAAGTATTTTACTACTCCTAATACAGTAAAATAGCTATTCTGTCCTGAACAACCATTTTGTCTTATGACCAGCAAAAGCATATTATGAAAATAAGTTTCTTAAATGCAAATCTGATTTTCTCTGTAACATGACTATCTACTTCTCCTTGCCTGGATGGTTAAACGTCTGTTAAAATAAAATTAATGTATACATATTAGATTTACTTTATTCAGCAGAAAATGCGGGCAAAATGCTTTCCACATATTGAAGCACTAGTAAAAAAGCATATTCTCTTAAAAGGGAAATTAAGACTTGGCCTTTGTACCAGGATGTTTGTATTTGTCTGTAAGTCATTAAGTAATGCATGTACACGAACAAAGCACATTTTATTAATAATTTGAGAATCAGGGTAGAAGATTAAATCTGAATCTGGTGTATTCATTAGTGCCTTTTGCACAGATACTACTGCTGAAATAGCTCACTATATTGACATTTCCTTGACCAGCAAAGAAAGAAAAGGCAGAGTTCAATTAGCTCACACTAAACAGCAGGACAATTTCAAGTTTTACTAGTTATTTTTTTCAAATCAAGGAAGGAACAAAAATAAAATCACAACAGAAAAACCAAAATTACTACAAAACTACTGAGTCTCCCCAAAATTTCTCTTACAATAAAGCAAAGTTTAAACTCTTCCTAAGGTGCAAATGCAAATGGCCAACAGTTATATGAAAGGGGAAACAGTACTATTATATGAAAAAGGAGAAAAACAACTTAAAACAAACAGAGCAATAAATAAGGTCTAATTTTAAATGTATTTTGGGTTTATAATTAAAACCAGAAATGATATGTAAATTGATATAATCTAATATTGTATTTCAAGAAATGCACTTTAAATGCATTTAAAGCATTTAAGCAAAACATTCATGTACTGAATATGAACAAAGATTTCAATAATGGAAATAGTATTATACTTTGCCTCCTAATTGATCAACTAAAAACAAACTGCACAATTCAAATATCCTGAGCAGTCATTCATATAAATATGTACATTATTAAATCATTGAAAAGAATCAAAAGAAAATAACTACTGTTAAAGCTGTGAATAACTTCTGTTCAGCAATTTCTATTTGTGCTGGTTCACAAAGAGCAATTAGATAATAAATTAATATCTGGACTATATGAGTTGCTTGCAAATATGAATTAATGGCCTATTATTTGTACAATAAAGCTCTAAATATATATAAAAGTTTTGAGGCAGAAGTTTTAATTAGTGCTTTCCATAATAAAAAGTCTGAAAATTTAGACTGCTACATCATTGCCTATCTGAGATGAATAAATCTGCAGCCCTGAAATCTAACTAGTGTGTTAGAACAGTGGTTGCCAACCGTTGGGCTAGGGCTCATTGGTGGTCCGTGAGAAAATTTTGGTGGGCCGCAGCCTACTGAGGTGGGGATATCCTGCAGTCTCCTTAGCAAACCCGCGTCATGGCTGCTGCCTCCTGCTTCAGCGCATCAAGGCCGAGCAACAGCGGGAAGAGCGTGGACCTCCTGAGCCAAGGAAGCGGCTATCAATGATGCTCTCAGGTGAAGATGTTGTGAGGGGGAGGCTCGACTTCCTCTTCACCAGAAGCGCTCACACTCTCAGCAGGAAGAACACAGCTTGTCGGGGACCAGAGGGGCAGTGAGCACTTTGTGTGTAAGCACTTCTGACAAGGAGGAAGAGAAACTCCTGAGGGGAGGGGGTCGAGCCTCCCCTTGCAAACATCTTCCCCTAAGGACATTGCTGGCAGGTACTCAACCTCCTCGATGCACGGAGGCAAGAGCCAGGAGGTAACACCAATTCAGAGGTTTCTTTCCCCCCACTTCCTTGCAGGCCAGGCTGATGCCAAGATCTCCTGCACGTGTGAGTCCATCCACTGCCAGTATCACCCGTTGCCCCACCTTCCCACCAGCCACCTGGTCTTCAGCATGTGGCTCGTCAGCCTCCAGAGTGGAGGTTGTCCACTGAGCTGAACTGTGCACGCCCGTGCCTGCGCATGCCACTTTTCCCCAGCAGGGGGATGTGACCCCTCTTGGCTTGAACTCTGGATTTGTGACTGGTATGTCTTAACTGGGACCGGGATGACTTCACCTCACCCGCGGGACCAAGCAGCAGCTGCCAGCTCCTTTCTCCACATGCCAGGTTTTACCATGGGAAAGAGAGCAGCTGGAGTATTAGTCACTTGATTAGTTCATAACTGCCCTACTCAGAGAAGGTGGTGCTGGAGGAGGAGGTGGCAGTACTGGACAAGCAAGTCAGGCTTTAAAGACCGGGGGGGGGGGTTCCAGCCCAGCCCTCTTCCCTCCCCCAACTTTAGGCAGCCACACCTGGCAAAGGAGGGAGAGGTTTCTTCTGACTTGGGGGAAGATATGAAATGATAGACCAGATTTTTTTTTGGGGGGGGGGGCTCTGCTTATCTTGTTGTATTTTTGTTATAAAGATAGATAGATAGATAGATAGATAGATAGATAGATAGATAGATAGATAGATAGATAGATAGA